GGAAAAGAAGTGACCTTAATATATTTATTTGAAAATAATAATGTGTATAGATATGTAATGTATGGTAACCAAAATGTTACTATATTTTACAAAATACTGATACACTGGTGCTAAGATTAAGAGATTTGTACTTTGTTTTATTATAGAGAAGTTTTAGAGCACTGAATAATTTGTTTCATAAGCACTTACACACTTTTACACCTATACTAACACTAATTCCTGACTACTCAGGAGGTTAATTAACATCCAAATACTTAACAAGTTTATTGGATTGGATAAAAATTTGTACAGAGCCATATCCTATATATTTTCTTTCACTTTTATAAAGTACTTTATACAATTCTTGTTGTAACCACTTTACTGTAAAGAAGCCGATAAATTCTACCTCACTGTGTTCTCAGAGCCAGAATTAGAATAGACTTTATAGGAACATTCCGCTTATCGACTTATAGAGGTTATGCAGTTACATGATCAAAGTAAACACGACAACAATTTGCAGCCATATTGGACATAAACATTATTTGTGTAAACATGGCCTCCACTACACAATCACTTAGTTCTTTGTTCATTTTTCACAAATTTACTAGCAAATTAGACAGTATATGCAAGTCAAGATCTGCAGAAAAGTCGGTCTTGGTACGATAGATACTTATTCTGTCCCGTCAGAAATGACAACTGTGCTAGATGCCAGTAAATTACTCAACATTGCAAATTGGGGACCCAAGTTAGGCCTACAAACCAACCTTAAAGTCCCACAGCTTAAGAATATAGATATGAATTATTTAGTTTCGATAACATCTTTTTACAGTGAAAAGCAGTTCAAGGCTTATAAAAGCCTTGATGCTTACAAGTATCTTGCGGCCGGCTGGGTGCATGATATCAAACTGTGAAAAGTGTACAAGATGTCCAACTACATAACTTAATCGAGGGTAAGTCGAAGTTGTTTTTAGTGACTAGGCCTATTGTTTATGTTCTATCAGAGGTATATTTACAATCTAGATATACTACATTGTATTGTATTGCATTTTAAGTCCTCCTATCTTGTAAGACCACTTTCTATAGTACATATTACCATATATTGTAAACAAGTAGGTCCTGGGTTTTAAGACCACCTATCTTGACCAGCCATAATTTTGATACAACTTTATTATTGCCCACTGGGCCCTTCCACCTAGCACTGCTTGTATGGGCCTGTGTCATAGTATTCAGATTATGGAAAGCACCAAATATTTACAAACTACAGATTGTATCAAGATCTGTACAATATAATTGTGACAAAGTACATTGTAAATACAAGTAGTACTAACGAGATATAAAATTGGAACTGCACAGTCTACGGTATGATGATGGTTTCCAAGCCTTGTCAATGTTGTTTGGATCTGCACATTTTACTGCCACAGTTCATTTAACTCTACATACTGGATCTTTTGGAAAACTATAAAATGATAACTCCAGATTCTTTGTTTGGTTATTTGTACAACTAACTGTCACACAGCTGATTATCATTTCAAGTACTTGATCCCAAATTTAAATGCCAGCAACTACATTGTTATTACTAGATTATCTATCTGCTACATCCAAAATGATGGTGTTTACTTTTTCGGCTTGCTGGTAACGTATGCATGATGTCACACACATAGGGTGTATTGGATTTGCCCAGACTTCCTACAAAGTCATAACATAAACATTTTGTAATACTTTAGACAATTGTCATTGAAACCATTATACTGTCAACAAGTTGATAAATTCTACCTTACTGTGTTTTCAAAGCAGGGAAAAGTTCTGGGAATTGCACTGTGTGAGATTATTTGATATTGATGGTGTCAAACTAAATAAGGAGCAGTGATTCATTGCTTTATATTTGGCAGGTTTCAACTCCAGCTGCTAACAGTAGAATAAACATAGGAAATAGGTGTGAAAAGATTATAAGAAACTCTCAGGAATTTTACTTTGGAACTTAGAAATCCATACTGAAAAAACAGGCAGTACTATTCATTTTGTTTTATCTAGTTTCTAAGTCAGCTCCTGACAATAAAATTACTACAGAGAATAAGTGTGAGAAGTATAAACTCTGACATAAAGTCCTTTGAAACTTTGTGATCAATACTAAAAATACTATACATTTTATTTTGCAATTTGCAACCTTTATTTTGGTTATACTTTGACTTGTCTTACAGCCTGGAGAATCTAATTACAGTAAAAAAAATGACAGATAAGTGTTAGATATTTAATTATTAGGTTTTTTATTTTTTGTTTGTTTTATTTATTTGTTATTATAAAAGTAACTAAAATGTATAAAAAGATATAAACTTATTTGGTAAGATAAGGAAAAAATAATGATAATAATCTTCATGGGGTATCCTAGTGAGAAGCTTGTGCATAATACTATTCGATATGGTAACATGAGCTGCACGTATGTCATATAATTTTCAACTTGTGTTGGTGTATTTATAGTCAGACACAGTTCAAAGGTCAATAAAACAAAAAACTAATAAATATAAATAGATGTATACTGTTATGAGGATTAAGCTATTCAGAATAAACATTTGTGGTTTCCTATTACAATTTGCAGTTATTCTAGAACAAAATAAAGGGTAATTTAGATTTATTTCCTAATTTTTATGATGGTTACGAGGTTGGTCCAATCAACTAACACCATATAGAGTTAGGGTCCAGAAAATAGCAGATAAAATATGAAGTTTTACTGAAAAAACATTTAAAATGTATTTAGGAGGTTTTAGAGATTATGCAAATGAAATTTGAGTTATTTTAGATGAAGATAAGTATTTTTAATCTTTATGTGAAAATCACTTTGCATTGGGACTATTAAGAAAAGACTCAATATATACACAGACAAATCTTTTTTTTTATTTATTAAAAATACTTTACTAAAAAATATTATTTTTTGTAGGTAAAAGACTTGTATTGTTTACTGAAAGTCTGCCAAATTTTGTGAAGATAGTAATATCAAAACTATGACGACTTTAAACGAGTACAAAATGGTCATGTGTGGACAGAGTTAATAGCATGAAATCAGTCTAGCCTTGACTGCATGATTTCCAGGTTTATCAGTAATCTGTATGCTAGTATGGGGTGTTCTTTTTGCAAAAGTTTTTGCTACTTTTGATGGTGGAAGTAGGCTTGAGGGTGTGAGTACTGATGTTATAATCCTCGTGTCAGGTAGAGATGACATTAAAGTTGAGATTAGTGAAAATAAAGTCTATACAGGAGTCTGTGCCACTTCAGTGCTCAGCAATTCTTGTCGATTATTCCAAGTTTAGTAGTATAAGGTTGGTGGCTATACTGTGGAGAGCAGAATGTAGACTTTTGCCATTAGTGCATTTACATGTGTCTAAGGTGGATTGCCTGGCATTGAAGTCTCCTGCCACTTGATGCATAGGAGAATTGTGTGACAGATTAACCAGGAACATCTTAAATCTTCAGCATGATGTGCTGTGTTGCTTTTCATGTACATATTGATGATTTGGGTGAGTGGGGGTAATTTCATTGAGCTGTCTGGATGGTTTATATTGCAGTAGTGATTTTTCCACTTGGAGTTGTCATAATATTTATAGCAGATGTTGTTATTTGAACTGCAATGGCCATCCCAGCCTCTGGGTTAGCATGTGGTAGAAGTTAAAGTCCATGAAAGTGAAATTCTAAGAGTCTGAGAGTTTAGTCTGATGTCATAAAATTGCATGTACTTCTAAATTGGTATTTGCTTCCCTTGATCTCCCTACACCAGCTTACTGTGCTATTATTAACATGGAGTATGCTGTGAATGCTAAATGTTGAGATAACATATGAGCCCTAGAACTGGGCCAGAGGCTTCATTAGTACTGGATATAACATATGGTGTGGTTGACATATTATTACATTCTTCTTTACTTTCACTCATAAGTTATTATAAATATTTATTATTAGAAATGTTTTATTTTTCAAAATATTCCTTTCTTGGAAATTCCAAACAGACCATTATGATTGTCTAAACATTGCTAAACAAAAGTATTCTGTGATCTAGGTAAAATTTTATGAATAACCCAACATAGAAATTAAGCTATGCCAAATCTCTTGACCTCTAAAGATTTTTTTCCTTTGTGTAAATTCTGGTACGTAAGAATATAACAAGCAAACGTGACACAAAAAATAATAAGAGTACAGTAGAAACAAATTTTAACTGTGCTGAAATCGCTTCTACAAGTGTTATCATACAAAAGTCCATTTTTCTACATAATGGGAAAATGAAAAGTGATGTTTTTACATAACACTGTCCTGTCAATTGTTGTACCATACCTTTATCTAGCTTAAGGTGAGTTGCACACTTTTCATGCAGTCTTAGTGGTACAAGGAACATTAGGGGTTGGTCTCTAATAACAAGGAGATTTAGATTTAACAGCATTCAAAAAACAAGAGCCAGTTATTGGAGAGTTTGGTTGTGGTGCTAGATTTAGGCTGTGATAATAGAATGTGTGGAGGCTAGTCTTTGAAAAGCAGGGATTACTTTATGCTTTAAAGAATGTCACAGTTTGGTTTTGGTAACAAGTAAATTAGGCATTGATTTTGTACTGAAAACACTATTATATGATACCATCTTCATTAATTATGGTACCAATTGCATTATAGTTTGTTTATGATAAACAAAGAATTATTGCTTTAATAACACAATGCGTTTTTATGTACACTAAGAGACTTGTTGAAAATACCAGATATACTAGCTTATTTTGGATACCAAGAGCATCATGGTTTGTTTGTGTCATACATGTAGCATAGATTCCTGTTGTAGCAGAGATTCCTTGTGCCACTGGGTACATCAACATTTTTGTTTTATAAATAGTGTTGAGGTTTCCATCCCATAGTTAAAAAATATGTCACATTAAATGTTATGTTTCAAGCTCTTAGTCTTTTCTTAATAATAATAATAATAATTTTCACAAAAGACAAGTTTTTTTTTTAAAGGAGGGAGAGGGAGAAGATAAAGTTTTTTGTGGTCTTCTTTCCAGGTGTGAAACATCAGCTTCGTAGTCACTTGGGGTTTGGCTTGAGATGTCCAATTCTTGGTGATCACAAATACTCTCATCTGAGAAAACTAGCTCCTCAGGTTGGTTAATGAATTGGAGGTATAAAAAAGGTTTTTTCTGTAATGACATGTAAGCATTCTTTATAGGGCTGAGTATCCTTTTATTGTGCAAAAATAGACTGATTCCAAAGTAATAACAAAAAAATAATTGTACATAGTGTTCAATAGAACTTAATTAGTGCATTTGATCTCAGTAATTGCTAATGAGGAGTGACAAACTCTAAAATGTTTCAGTCCACAGAGTGGACTTAGATAAACTTGACAGGCTATATTAGCATGTTTATTGTCAGACCTGACCAAAAATGATCAATTAGATCTGAAATTAATTTGAATAGGAGTGAAATATTGTTTTTTTACAATTTAGTGTCACAAGAAAAGTTAAGTGATAAACTATTCTAAAACACTAGTTGTGAAAGTTGATATTTGACATGCATATGGTTTAAATATGATAGGTTTGACAGAGCATAATTTAAAACTTTAATTATAATCTTTTTTTTAATTGTTTTCTAAAAAATGTTTATATATATATATATATAAAGCTAAATAATAAAGAGATTAATGATGATTTCAGTTCACATCACAAACTTGATAACTTATCATAGCAAAACAGAATGAACTGTTTATGTATCCATAGGTGCAAGGAAGAAGAAAAAAGTTGAGGAAATATGCAAAACACTGTTAATGAGTATTCAAGAATTACAGACATACTACAACTTTCAGTTTTAATAATTTTACAAAGTTTTCAAAAACATGTTAGTGAACAATGTTTTTCACTGTATGTAAAGCTAAATACTGTTGATATTCATAGTGTAATAGGTGTAAGCAAAAAGAAAGATTTGCCAAACCAATTGGCTTATTTGTGTTGAGTAAAAATGCAAAGAAAAAAGTTAAATGAATACTCAAAAAATACATACAAACTAAGGCATTTAGTTTTGAAAACAGACACTGATTAAAATGTACTTTACAACTACAGGCTTTAGCCAAGGAATACCTTTCTTAATAGTGTAGTAGCAATTTTAAACCTGGTTTAGATAATAATAATAAAAAATATTTATTATGTTATAAGTTATCATCAAAATTAAAAATATGAAAGCTTTTTTTAAAGTCAAGATGTAGGCTTTTTATAACATGTAAAACTGTTACAAGACTATCATGATAATCAAGCTTTTCAAGCCATTAGTCACAACAGTAACTACTCATTTTTTAAATCTCTGTTACAGATTTTCATTCAATTTTCTATTCATTAAGAAATTAGGAGTACAGGGTAAACACTTAGTATTTATCTGTATGAAATCTATGTTGAAGCATAACCAAAAAAGCAAAATACATGTACTTGTCTGAGCTATTTATTTATATAGTTTTTGTAAAATGCATTCACAAATTTAATCTTTTTGTATCATTGATTTGTTTGAACAATTTTGAAGCCTGCATGCTTTCACCGAAACAAGAGTTAATATGACAAATATGGTACAGAAATATGATAGCTTTTGGAAGTGAGGAATATAGTGTGTTTTGACTACTGTATGAAATTGTAATCAATTAGTGGGAACTACATGTTTTTCTTGGTCTGCATTTCAAAATGAAACAAAATTTTGTATTAGAGATTATTTCTTTATGTATTATTTTTTTAAATATTTTTTAAATTTGTAAGACTTGTATAAATGTCATGAAGCCCACTCTTATTATTGGTTGACCACAGATTTATGAGTGGGTCACATTAAGTGATGGTATTCTTGCAGAATTGCTCTAGTAATTTTTTATTAGCTATTATAAAATTCATTCATCCTTTTATTAAGAGTATGTAAGGAAGTCCAATACATACTAGACAGTTAAGTTATAGGAATGTTATACTTTTTATTATTTCCTACTAATAAAGTAATTTCTAGACCAGTGCATTTTTAATTTTATCAAGGTTTTACTCGTTAAACTACCCCAGAACATTATTTGGTTGTTTTTTCTTTTCCTATTAAGAATTATATTTAGCTTTTTAATGTTTACATTGCCACTTACCTATTCTAAGAATAAGGCTTGACTTATTTTATTATATCTATTCCTTATGCTCATTTATATTTCCTGAATAGTTTATTATGATAATAAAAAAAGAAAAATATTTTTGCAATAATTTATGTGTAATGTGGAAAACTTATTTGTATGGAATATTTATGATGTCTGAACTGGTTAATAATGAACTGTTAATGGATGATAGATGTAATTCTAATTATGATAATATCATTTTTTAGTAGCCCAGAATTGTTTTCCAGTTAAAAAAGTGTCTATAATAGCATTTTAATTGCATTTTTTTAAATATTGCTGACTTTAAAATTATGTATTTTTTAATATTTTGGTATTTGTTATGATATTATATATTTAGTAACCATGTATGTATGTATATGTGTGTGTATGTATGTATATACATATCTTTGTTGATGCAATATAAATCTGTTGTATATTTTCAGCAACTTCCTGGTGATATGTTGGATTTATTAAATGTTCGACAGAGTAAGGTTCGAGATATCCCAATGCACTTGCATGCTCATATCCTTGTCATCCCTGAGGTATTAAATGGGCAAAACCTGTTTATTCGTGCAAAAATCCCATTTCATTTCCAAAAGAGCATGCAGTTCTTAAAAATTAAGAAACCTTGAAGGAAGCTTCAGAATAATTATGATGTATCTCTTGAATTGTTATGGATTAGGACATGTAAACAAATTATAATAACACTTCTCTATCTTTGAGAAAATACTTCTCAACTCAAATATAATCTATAAATGTTTGGAATGTAGATTTATTTTCTAAATATTGAATGTATGATATTTCAATACTTTCTGAAAAATAATCCAACCAGTAAATTATTAACTTTTAATGTAAGCATATTCCCAAATAAATCATTTTAGTCAGATGTTGAGAATAAAACACTTCTTCTTAAAACCTCAAAAGTTGCACATAACTAGTTAATAATGGTTAGAGACCAGAATCAAATTTTAAATATTTGTATTAGTCCACCGGTGGTTGTTTAGTTAATAGACTAATTCAAACAAGCATGTGATATAAATTATGAAGTTAGAAGAGTTAATGTTTTGCACATCATTAATCAGTAAGTTTCTCTAAACTTACATCACTCGCAATTACCAATTTATAGTTTTGCTGCATGTCACATTCATGGAAATAAATATGTTACAAGTTGCAGCTTACAGAAAAGAAAATTTTGTTTTTGTTGGAACATCTGTTGTACATTTAGAAGCTTCTTTGTGTTAAATATTGTTTTATTAAAAACTCATACATACAGAAAGACCAAATAATAATAATAAAAATCAGTGAGTCATTTATAATTTATAGATAAAATACATAACAAAGATAAAACTTGTAATGATGCCAGCATTTTATGAAAATGTGGTAAAAAATTAAATTTTTAATAATGACAAAAAGTTACTGAAGATATAATTAAATTTGTCTGTATATTTGTTCTGGACATAATATCTTAAAGTAATATCAGTCTTGTATTTAATGTTGTTTCACCTTACTAATGCCTACTGAGTAAAATACTATTGCAATTTGGATGTTGACAACTTAAGACAAAAATGGTCAAAATTTTAATCATAGTTCAGTTATGATTTTCATTAAGAAAAAAATGTTATATTTTCAACAGAACTTGTTATTGATTTTTATTGTAATTATCAGCAAGTTTTAATACTAAATGTATACAAATATTAGTAGCAAAAGACACAAAAGTAGTTTACACAAACTTCTTTTTTATTTTACTGTTATTCCAATTTTGATTGCTACATTGTTAACAACAGTGACTGAATCCACAGACTGAATTTAAAAAAGTAACAGTTCATCATTGTAAGCAACAGAAAAAACACAATACATGAAAAGTATTAACAATTGTTGAAGAAGGTTAAATGACACATTTAAATTTAAATTACTTTTATTTGCACTATTTTTTGGGTGTGTGTTTTTTTTTCTATTTTCCTTCTTGAAACAGACAAATCTCTTCTGTGGTTTTAGTTTTTACCTTCTTTTTGAGGTATTGATGCGTAAAAATCTTGTTCAATCTCATCAAATTTTCTACATGTAAACTAACTTTATTTCTTTTTCTTCAAACAATAATTCTGCATAAAGATCATGTTGAAATTTTAGGAAATTATTGTTGCCTCCCGATTTCTGGTGTACAGTTATTGTCTTTACTTAAAATATAGCAACTGTCACATACCCTGAAAATATGAGTTGTCACACCCCTTTAGCTGGCTAGCACAGTTGTCCTTGTAACATGGCATCAGTTTCTTTTAGTCCCTATGTGCAGGTTGTCATCTAGTCTATGGAGTAGGAGAGAATGTTTCTGATTTCTCACAGGACTTTTGCACCGATTCACACACACAGGTTGTGCATAGTTTATACTATATAGTTACTTCTTTTTTTTTGTCCTAGCTTGTAAAATCCTCACTTAGTATTTACTAATGTGCATTGGATATCTTGATGATTTTTTGCAGTGCCTGACTTACCAGGGGCAAAAAATCCTTTCTGAGAGCACTCATTAAAAAAAGTTGTATTATAATCACTTTTCTCAACAACTTTGAGGATTTTTACTATTGAGTGAAATATATATCTTATAAATTAATGAAAATATAGGAAAAATGTTTTCTTTCAAAAAATTGTCACAACAACAACAAACAAAATTCTGAATTATCATGAAGAAATGCTAAAACGTATTACCATAAACTGTATAATGTTACAGAGAAAATATTTTAGCCCAAAGTGGCCAAATGAAGCTAACTACAACATTTGGCTTAGCATCACATTTCATAAAAGATATAACTTTTCTAACTGTAAGTTGCTTAAAACTCTTTGAACTTGTTATAATATAGACAAAAAAAAGTTCAGGCTTAGTGTGATAAATTTCAGAACAGGAATAATAACAGAGTCATGGCTTTCATGGACACTTTGGGCAATAATATGTACTGTATGTGATGATGTCTTTACTAGCAAAACCATAGTTGTAATAAATTAAATATTTGTTGAACATGCAGCTGTTTTTGTTTTCCTCAATTCTCTAATTTCTACTTCCCTTCTTGAAACAGATACATCTCTTCTATGCCTTTAATTTGTTTTTATTTTGAGATAATGATGCATAAAAGTGTTTTTCAGTCTCATCAAATTTTCTACATGCAAATTGTCTTCATTTCTTGTTATTCAAACAACAATTCTGCATAAACATGATGTGGAAATTTGAGGAAATTATTGTTGCTTCCTACTTTCTGATATATGATGAAACTGTTCAGCTTTGCTAACTTCTTTCATACTTTTTCTTACAACCTAGTGGCAGAATGAGGGTTCCCAAACATTGTGCTTCAGCTCTTCTAGAAGGCCTTTTCTATTTTGACAGATGGTTCCACATGCTGAACAAAGTCAAGCTAGTGTAGTAGTTATCAATGTACAGTTGTTTAGAAATGGAGTAATAAGGTTACCTCCATTGAAGAAAACTTATTGCCAGTGGATGGATTGTGTTCTTTACCATTGTAGTTATAGAATCTGTGTGTGTACCTACTGTTTTCACACAGCACAATAATATTTAACCAATGTTTAGCATGTTTCAGTGGGATATATTATTTCAAAAGAAGTAAACTCTTCCTTTCACAAGTGGCTCATCATTGAAAATATTCTTGGGTGTGTACTTCTTGCAATTGTCAAATAATTAATCCACCAGTGACCTTACTTTGTACAACTTGTCAACAATAACATCATTGATGTTCAGTAAGTTTTCATTGATATGCAGAAACTTAAGAAGCAGGATGTATCTATCCCTGTACACATTGATTGATGACTTCTGGATTATTCCCATCCAAAATGTGAATCTTAAGAAATTTTCTCATCTCACATTTGTCAGTTGTTGTCCATTGTTTTACCCTAGACTGCTTTCTCATTTGGTTTGTTTCAACAAACTGATCAGCATATCTATTTGTTTCAGTTAGTAAATATATTTGAAAAGTCATTTATAAGTAAGAAACATAAGAAAAGTATATTTAATTATTTTGATGGCCAGGTTCATTTTTAGCTTTGCTGTAACTAGATACTTTACTGTGATCAAAAGTTATTTTTATTCATGGCAATGTTCACTTTGTTGCTGGTTTTAGTTTTCAAATCTTAAATCTAATAGTAAGGTGATCCACTTGGTTTTTATTCCTTTTGGGTTCAGGAAATTCATTAGCCATCTGACAGTAATGTTTAATGAATTTGACAGGAGCCCTGTTTTTGTATGCAATAGTTAAGTTGTAAGTGACTTAGAGTGTTATTATTTTTTCCCATTTTGCATCTGGGATAATAAAACTCTTCAATCCTGTCTTGTCATAATCATTGTCAAAATTAATTTAGCTTTTACATGTGGTTCCAAGTGAAATTGTGCATCAATTTTAGTCTGTTGAGTCAGAGATGTGTCAACAACAGCAAACCTTGAAATAAACTGTTGATAATATGAGGTTAAGTTTATAAAACTTTGTATATCTGTACTGCTCAAAGGATTTGACATCTTTTCAACCCTTAACTATTTTTTTTCTTGATTGACCACCATGCTGCATCAATATATATTGAAAGTTAAGGCAGATTTGAGTGCTATTTTTCCA